TTATGTGAAAGACATTTCATTGAGAAAGCAGAGAGATTAGATTGTTGTATTGAAAAATGTAGTAATAGTGCTTCAATCAATGAACTTCCATATGACATGATTAGTAAAGTAAAGATTAGAAGTAATTGTTCACATCACCTTATTTGTCTTAATCATTATAAACGATTCAATAATAAACAAAAAGTACCAAATTTACCTCCAATTAAACGTGAACCAATTGAACCAACAACTGAACAAATACCACCAGAAAAAAAGAAACCAGAAATAAAAGATGATACTACAACTGCAGAAGATAATAATGAAACTCATTTAAAGTCTGAAACAGTTTCAGAAAAAGAGTTAGATTTAACCGAAAAATGTGATATAATAGGTTGTAATAAAGAAAAAACAAATATCCATTTTATGCAGAGTATTCCAATCAAATTATGTTCTAACCATTTTAAACAATTCAAACAAGCATTGAGAAAAGCAATTTTACTTAAACAAATTCAATTACCTATTGAATGTATTGCTCTTATTCCTAAAGAACCAAATCATCCTTTATACAATTATCCTTTATTAAACCATGACCAAGTTTGTTCTCTTTGTTTTAATAATACACAATGTCCTTTTAAATGCTCAACATGTTCAATGAATTATTGTATTGATTGTTATAAAATGGTAAATCAAAATTTTGATTATTCAGATAATTGGATTTGTTCAAATTGTCGTAATAAATTTAATAGAGATAATATCATTAAACAAGAATTTGAATTAATTCTTCCATTAATTAATAAATCAATAAAAAAAGCTTTAAGTGAAGAATATGCACAAGTTATTGCTAATGAACAAAAACAAATTGAAGCAAAAAAACAACAATTAATTGAAAGAAAAAAGAGGCTTCAATCATTTAGTGTCTGGTTAGTTTGTATTCTTCCTCATTCATTAAAAGTCCATCAAGGGATGGTTTCTTTTGTTGAAAGAAAAAAAGTTAATGAAACTATTCCAAAGGAAAATCTTTTTATTATGTCAAAAGCTGCAAGAGAATATATGACACTTCCACATTTTAGTTCAATTACAACTGCTCAGTTTATTGGAATGGCAGAAATTCTTATGCATATTATTATTGATAATGATGAAAGACTTCAATTTAAATTAATTAATAATAATGTTCCATTAGATATTGTGTCTCTTGCTCATTCTCGTCAATACACTGATATATTAATTCAAATAATAAATAACCAACCTGAATGGGTTCCAACAATTCAATTAAAACGATTAATGAAAAAGAGTTGTCAATTTAGTTATTCAATGTTATTAATGAAACTATCATTACAAACAACTGAAGCGGTTTGTGATGGAGTTCGTGTAATACAACAAGATAATCAAATTAGAAATGTTATTATTTTTTGTGGAGCTAATGGAGGAATGATTGGATATGAAGGATGTTTAACATCTTCAGGAGAATCAGACAATAGTGTTGGAAGTAATTTTAATGGTATAGGAGATTTTGATGATGAACATTCAAAGAATTCATCATGTAATGACCAACATTTAAATCCACTTGGATTTCCTATAGGAATTAAATCTACTCAACCATCAAAAATCATTTATCAAACATTATTAATCAATTATTTAGCAGTAGCAATTAAATTTGTTATTAAGGGGAATAATAATAATAAAGTTGGATTATTAATTTTTGGTAAAGAAGGATGTGAGAATGGAACTATTGAAATAATTAAAACAGACTTAGAAAATAAAAGAGTTATATTGTATGGATGTAAAGATTATAGAGACTTATCACAATGGAATTCTTCTTATGAAGAAATAAAAAAAGACCTTCCTGAAATTTTATTTATTTCAATTCATACTGAAGAATATACCACTAAAGATGATATGTCAATATTCAAATCTATTGCATCAGACTTAAGAAGTCTTACTCTTATAAAAAATGAACAGATGTATCATACTAAAATTGTTCACCTTATTGATTCTGGGTTTATTCAAGAATGTAATTTGGAAGCTTATCGAAACTTAACTTCTACATATGTTTCTTCAATAACAGAATAATCAATTTTCTACTTTTTTTAATTTAATCTTTGAACATTTAATTATGTTTGAATATAAAA